AGTTGACATGGCTGTATTTTCTCCTTTTCTGTAACCACTTTTTGCACCACTCTGTACGGCTTTTTTTTCTTCTTCAAAATTACAAATAATAATCCTATGAGCGCTATTGAGTCGACGTCAACCACCGCTACCGGTGCCACGATGGTGACTGAGAGCTTTTGCAGGTCCTGCAGGTTTGTCGTTACGTGTGTGCGCGCCACGGAACTCGGTCGAGTCGTCGGTTTTGCTTGCACAGGCAAAACTGACAAGCATTACCTAACGTGTGTGTGGCCCTCTTAAGGGCTGTGAAGAATATATTAAAATATATCAATGTAATGTAAGTAGATACTTATTAAGCCTATAATATGTATTATTATATGCTCATTTATGCACACTTCTATTAACGGACCTCCTTCACCAAGGCATAAAATAAATAATATGTAGTGCTACTCTTACGTTACCAAGGTTTGCCTTGAAAAGGGAACTGTTAAGCGATGAGGCCAGAGGCCAAAGGAAGTAAGATGTGAACAAGTTCACACCTTACTCACAGTTCACAGGCCGAATACCGAACAATAGCCGAACATTTGTTGCAATTCTAGTTTCAAAGAACCACTGGTAATGCATAAATGACTTTCAATAAGTATTCTGTGACTTTATTGAATAAAAATTATTCTATTCTATTCTATCTAAGACGATAATTACAGTGGGGCGAATTTTTATGTCCACAGTAGGCTGTTACTACACGTTAAAATATTTTTATTACAACACCATTATTCTATTTCTACAGACTGGATTGAACGTAAATAATAAGCAGTTTTAGTTATTTGGCTTTATTTATTTAATTTTTTTTTATTACATTGTCTTAAATACATTTATAACGTTTGTGAGGTGTTTATTGGAATAGCATCTATACAGGCAATAGAAATAATATATTATCAAGTTTAAATTTTTTTAAGATCAATGGATCTAAGCAGTTGAAATTATGTCGTTGTGATAAAATCAACAGCTTTTTTATAGAAGAGGGGACAAACGAGCATGCGGCTCACCTGATAGAAAGTGTCGATCGCCGCCCATGAACAACTGAAACATCAGGGGAATCGCAAGTTCATTGCCGGTTTTTTTAAAAGGACTAAACTCGTTTCTTGAAGGTCCTCAACTTGCATCCCCTAAATTGGACAACCTCGGAGATATCGTGTTACTTAAGTTAAAACAAAAACATAATATTTAAAGACTGTTGGTAATCTTAAAAGTCAGATTTACATTACAAGACTAGAAAAAAATAAGATTTTTTTATTTACATAATACTGTTACAAATAATAATTAACAATACTTTATGAAATTTATAGCGGCCTACACACATAAAGATCGGAACGCGGTAACAGTTCGCGGTGCTCCATTTATCACTTTGGAACTGACCTGACAGTTCGAACTGGCATGTCGATGATTGTGCGAGCATCACGTGTTAACGCAAAATAAAACATGTCGGTTTGGAGCGCGGAAGCTGTTACAGAATTTATACGATTATTTCATGAACGTCCGTGTCTATGGAAGAACAAATGGTAAAATTAAAAACCTTGAATAACCGACTCCAATATAAATAAAATGAGAACATCACATAATTTAAAAACGATTGGTTAGATCTTGATCAAATTTATATGGAACCATATGAGAAGCACCAGCGTTCAAATGAAAAAAGAATCATAAAATGGGTTCTACTAGAAAAAAGTTCTGAGGTAACATAAAGTAAAACCCATAAAAAAAGAATAAAAACATATACCTAGTCGAATTGAGTGACTCCGCCTTTTTAAAGCCGGTCAATAAAAGTAAAGACAATAAATACCAAATGATATATGCGAAACATTGGATATGATGAACTAGTAGACTATTGTAAGAAAATAGTATTAGATCCGCGAATAGCGAAATTGCTAGAACAAAAAACGTTATTCAAGAGGAGCATTAACAAAATGACACAGAAAAATGAGTATCCATCCAAATCTTACTACGGCTACCTCTAAAACTAACTAAAAACTTGAAAATGACCACGTTCCACGCGCCAGACCAAGCTGCGAAAATCGTTTACACGCACAGTTCTAGATTGTAGGTAGGCTAAAATCATAGATTTGATCCAAATCCAAACTGACATGACATTATAAGCGTAATTAAGAGTTTGATGCCCAAATACTCAAACGCTACTCAATTTTAAAATGCCGTTGAGTCTCGTGTTGTCTTTGTCATTTTACGTCTAAGTAACCGTGACATCATGAGACTTACTGACATCTTAACCCTTAACCACTTACCACTGGTCCCTCAGACACCGTTGAAGTAATTTTTGTTAATATTTCAGCGTGAGCGCGTCGTTCAGTTTTGTGCGATAATGTACCTTCCCTCCGCTCTCGTCAGTACCGCGCGAGCCGCCGACGACTTCACAGGTGCCCGCGTTTATCAACGGTAAGGTCACAAACATCGTCAGCAATCTGTGAGACCGGTGGTAAATGGTTACGTAATTTTTTTATCGTTATGTTTTCGTTTTCAGTGAATAATGGCTGCTCAAGACGAACTTATTGCTAGGTAGCTAGAAGAAAATCCGTCAGATTAATAGGACATAGTAAGTGGAGTTTTTAGTGATGTCGAAGTTGATATTGGTGACTATCATGTTCTAGAAGGAACCAGTGGATCTGATTCTGAAATTGAACGTGAGCTAGAATCTCCGTCAGCAAGCCGAATAACTAATCTTCAGACTAGAATCACTCCTTCCGTATCGTCTGTTCAAACTTCATCAGGACGAAGATGTGCCGCTGTCAGAGTTACGGTCTCGCCCCAGAAAGAGGAATTTTTTGGTAAGAATCGCTTTTGTTGGTCTTCTGAGCCTCCATCTTATCCTCCATCTTATCGATCGAGAACATTACAACATAACATCGTACATGAAAGAGAAGGTATAAAGCCAGACTTCAGAACAGTAATAAACGCTTCTTCTACCACACTCAACATTTGAAGTCCGTTTTTTATCGATGAAATTCTGGAAAAAATTGTAAAAAACACAAACCAAAAGATTCGCGAAATAAGACCTAAATACAATAAGCAAACGAATGTTTAAGATACGGATTTGATAGGACTAAAAGCATTCATTGGATTACTCTTCTATGCCTCCATATTCAAAGAAAATCGTGAACACTATTCGTCATGGTATAAGACAGATGGTAGTGGCAGATAAATATACAGGTGTATCATGAGCAAAAGACGATTTGAAGTTCTACTCAACACTATACGATTTGATAATGCTTCTACAAGAGAAGCACGGCAAGAAATTGACGCTAAATTTGCCTTCACAATATAGCCGATGAGACTTGTTTCTCCAATAGAAGGATCTAAGAGAAATGTAACCACAGACAACTGGTTAACGTCTCTAGAGCTTGTGGATTTACTAAAAGATAAACAACTAACATTAGTGGATACACTGAGAAAAACCAGCGAGACATACCCCCAGAATTCTTGCCCACTCGTCACCGAAAAACTGACTCATGTGTGTTTGGATTTACAAAAGACGTTACAATAGCATCGTTTGTTCCAAATCCAATTAAAGCAGTCATAATGCTCTCAAGTATGCACCACTCATCGGAGATCGACGAAAGTACAAAGATGCCAAAGATTATATTATTTTATAACAGAACTTAATTTGGTGTAGATTTACTGCATCAGAGATGCTCCAACTATTCTACGGCCCGTCGGACATGCCGATGGCCGTTGGCCATATTCTAGATTACTCGACGTATCAACCTCGAATGCCTATGTCCTTAGCTTATCAACCCAAGTACAGAAGAAAAAAAAACCCGATTCCACTTTATCAAGAAGCCGGCAGAACAACTCACAAAACCATGTATGAAGCGCAGAGAAAAACATATTTATTTTCAATATCATATATCAAATATCAAAATTGCTCTCCATCGGATCCTGAAAATCCATAAAGCGGACAATCCAGCAGTTGCAGGTGGTAGCTCTGATAAGCTGGAAATACGTAATACAAGTTGTGCACTAGGTTTCAATTTTATAAAAAAAAGAAACAATAGTGGCTTCATTTTTTTCTTGTTATATGATTAGTGAACATTGGAAAATAAGTAAATAAATATATATTTAGAGGTACTATTATTTTTGACCTCAATTTCCAAATAGGTCCTTATTTTTTGTTAAAATTTAGAAACCCACAAGAAATTTTGTGTTTTTTCCAAAAGAGTTGATTTTATTTCGTGTTTTTCTTTTTCTTTTAATAAATACTATATACTTTAGAAATCCCTATTTTATTCACTGCATGTGTGAAAATCCCTATTTTATTTACCATCTAATAGGTGTCTACGTGGTAGAGCCATGCTCCAGTTATATTAGTAGTGTAGTTGTAGCACGAATGGGTCGGTTCGACCGGGGAGGACCACGCTCTCACAGAATACCAGCGTAAAATAGTAGCTTAATATTGCTGTGTTTCGTGTGGTGAGTGTAGAGAACCGGAGAACCTTTTTACTGGAAACGAGGCATTCCATCTTAGTCCTTACGGGTGACAACGCATCTGCATTTTGATTTTTAATTAACCCTTTTTAAGACAAATGGAATATATTTACCACCAGCGTTTTCTACTATTTCTCCCAAATTCGTTTTTAGTAGAGAAATTTCTTTTTCTTCTAGCAATACTAAAATGTATTGTCAACCTATCCGAAGAAAAAAAATTGACAGACAGGGTGTCACGGCGTTAATTATCAGCTGCTTGTCTAGAGAACGTGTTTTTTAGGTTATAGAAATTCGCATCTGTAGAAATCCCACTTTTTGCTTATTGTTAAGGGGTAAGTAAAAATTATGTGTTTCGAAATATATTATTCTTAATGTATTTGCTATGTATTTATGAAATTGTATTTATATTTTTTGCTCACTAACGGTTTTTCTTGGTGGGAAGTATATTCCCTGTACCCAGCACCGTTATTGAGTTTTGATAATGCACGAATAAAATGTTTTTTGTTCTTTCAGGGCATTTAGTCACAATGTCGAGGATTTTTTTGAAGGATAAGGATATTGAAGGATTTTTAGAAGAAATGTTTGATATTCCTGATGATAGTAATTCGGAAGACGACTTAGAATCGGAAGGAGAACCAGAGTTGAATTTGGAAACTTTGCAAAATCTTTTAAAAGATGATTCCCAAAGCCAAGAAAATCAAAACATGCCTGATACGAGTTCGAATGGTTCTATTGAGACTTTTCATAATTCACAGAGAGATGAATCTGAAGCTGAGATTAGTATACTTGAAGAGTTAGAAGAAGATTCAGATGAATCTGAACCAGACGAAGATGGAAATTGGTGTAAAAGTTTATGAGTCAGTCGACCTGAACCAGAAGAATTTGACCGTGTCAAAACAGTGCCTGTGTATTTATTGAACAGCAGAGCTCGTCCTTTGGCACACTTTGAGAAATTTTTCAATGAATATGTGTATGATCTTATTGTTGCACAGACAAATCTCTACGCTGAACAAAAGAAACTACTGCATTGGGAGCCGGTAACTAAACCCGAAGTTAAAGCATTTCTTGGCATTTTGATTATCATGGGGTATATTATTTTACCTCACATAGATTTATATTGGTCTAGTGATCCAGGGTTTAGAATCTATGAAGTGGCCAATGTCATGCCAATAAAACGATTCAAAACAATACTGCAAGCGCTACATCTGAATGACAATTCCCTAGAACCTAAAAAAGGAACCGCAGGCCATGATAAACTGTACAAGTTGCGTCCTCTAATTACCATGCTCAATAATTCATTTCTAGAAAACGCGAAGAATTCTTCGTCGCAAAGTATTGACGAAAGTATGATAAAATTCAAAGGGAGATCTTCTTTGAAACAATACATGCCACTCAAACCAATAAAACGTGGTTACAAAGTTTGGTGCCGTAATGGCAGTCATACCGGATATTTATAAGAGTTTGAGATATACACGGGCAAGACAGCAGAGGGGGTAGAAAAAGGCTTAGGCGCTGACGTGGTAAAAAGATTGACACGCAAACTAATGCAAGAAGAATTTATCAAACATGTCGCGTTTGATAATTATTTTTCAGACACTTCCCTGCTCCAGTATTTACATGAAAACGGTTTATTTTGTACCGCAACAGTCCGGCGAAACAGAGTTGAATTGCCTGCAATAATAAAAGAAAAGAAGAAGTTGAAATTACAGAAAGGCCAATTCAAATGGAGAACTAATAAGGACGTTGCTTTCTTAGTTTGGCAGGACACAAAAGAAGTGTTAGTATTGAGCACAGCATTTCACCCTAAAATGGGAACGACTGCAGTTAGCAGAACTCAAAAAGATGGCACCACTTTATCAGTCAAATGTCCAAGAGCAATAAAAGAATATATTCAGAATGAGAATGGGTGGTGTAGACCGATTCGATCGAATGAAAGCCTCATACTCTGTCGGTAGGAGGAGCAAACGCGTGTGGCTCCGGATTTTTTACTTTTTGTTAGATGCAGCTATCACAAATGCTTTCGTGCTTTACTCTGTTTCAATTTCTTCGAGGGAAAGAAAACAAGTAACTAATCTGGAGTTCCGAGTGGCACTGGCGCGAGGGCTCATTGGAGCGCACAGTAGAAAAAGGCGAAGATCTGCTCCAAATTACGTCACTAAGAAAACTAGAGTACTGGGCTCTGATAATTATCAAAAGGCCACCAATAAAGTAGCACCTGAAATAAGATTTCAAAATGTTGGTCTACATATGCCTGTAGCCATTGATTCGTATAGACGCTGTAAATACTGCAGCACAAAGGAGCACGATAAACGAAGTAAAATTATCTGCGAAAAATGCACAGTTCCACTATGTATTGTCCCTTGTTTCCGTCAATATCATGTTAATAATTAATGAAATAGTTTTTTATTTTCCTTCCACAGTTTTACAATATAATTATAATAATTTAATATACAAGAATTTATTACAATTGGGAGAGACAGGAATCTAAGAATTTTTCCAGTGTCTAGTTTTCACTACAGTGACGGGCAGGGGGGAATATATTTACCACCAATTTACCACAATTTTCCGATAACTTTTCCTAATTTTCGTGTTAAGTTATAATAAGTAGTTATATAAAAGATGCCAAATTTAATATAAATATTTACTTTACTGTCCTGAATCCTTCTGTCTTATAAAGGGTTAAGGATAGATGTAGATGTCTATAAGCCGCAGCAACCACTTATCGTGAGGTGGATTATGTGCTCGTTTGTCACCCTATCCTATAAAAAACTCGAGTATACTCGTAAACATATTGTCAAAGGAGAAAGCAAGAGATTAGTTGCTTTGTCTTTAGGGATGTCTGATTTAACGAAAAGATACCGGTTGCAGCAACCACAATGAGCAACCAAGCTAGGTAGATATGACGCTACATTTAGAGCAGAGGTAAAAAAGGTTTCTGTGACCACTTGACAACCCTGCATGAAATGTTTATCGGCTTGAAAGTCAAACAATTAAACAGCGCAGCTTACGAGTGTGCAGAAAAGTATAAAATACCCCATCGTTTCAATACACATACAAAAATTGCGGAGAAAGAGTGTTTTTGTGGATTTATGAAGCGCCACCCAGAAATTGCTAACAGCCAACTTCCACGAGCTATGGGGTTCGACGGTTTTATGTGAAGATGTCGGCTAGCAGCTAGAAAAAAAATTAATGAAAAAAGAAGCCTAATTCAAAAACTCACGCAAAGGGAGCTAAAAAGGAGTTTAAAAAGTCAAAGGCTATACCAAAAAAGAAGGTATGGAAGTGTGGAGGATGTACTGAAGTCTTTGTTGAGCCTAATGATGAAGACTGGATCAATTGCGATATGTACCAGGTGTGGTGCCACGAAAAGTGTACGGATTATATGGATTTTGGGATATTTTAATATGATTTATGCAAGTTATTCACCGGAAGAAACACTGCGCAATCTTATCGCCACCTATGCGCAATTTTATACACCGGGGTGTGTAAGGTTGCAATTCTCGACTTCTGTTTTTTCTGTTAATTAAGTAAAAAGTGATTATGCTTGCTCAATAATTAGTATTAAAAGTTATTCTCAGATAAGTTTCGATTTAATAATAATAAAGAAGCCTGTGATTAATTCGTGTATTTTATTTTTATGACCGAATTATTCAAAATTGCGCAAACTTACACCACCCTACCCTAATTATAATTGAGCCATTTAATGCGCGAGGTCTCCTAGACCGATGGTAAGTGGTTACGGAAGCAAAACTGGTGGTAAGTGGCAAAGGGTTAAAATTGAGTAGCGTGTGTATTTGGCCACGAGAAAGCAGTCAATGCGCAGTCGGAACTGGATTCGTCCTTCGGTTTCGAAACGCGTTCCCGGATCCGCAGTCCGGACTTTACGTATAGTTAACGTTTATCATTTAAAACTATATACGTGTGTAGTTACCTACAGTCAGAGGTTTTGTATTTCAATACTTAATAAATACCTAGTCTTTTTTCGTTTATTAAATGATCTATAATATACCCACAGGGTTATTTTTCAAAGAGTACTAGAATGATGATGTACCGTTATTGCAGTTTTTGAAAATATGAGGAAGTAAAGCTTACTTTTATTTGAAATTATCTCAAAATGAACGTGATTTGATAGGCAATAACGTTTTGGTCTACCGATCGACCCTTACGAGTGTTACTTGTGCGCGTGCGCATTAAAATCAGTAGGTATGTATTACCACGCATTTTTAATTAAAAGGTAAAAAGTACTGAATGTTTGAGATTTTTTGAATAACTTTTACTTCACCATTTGCAAATATTCTGCAAATTTGGCCAATGATTGCAAAATAACCCTGTATATCTAAACATCTATATACGATATAATATACCATATATACAAAATATAACAGGTATATTAGTATATATTACCTTTTGTAATCTCTACTTAAAAATCTAAACTTATACATCATATTACACAAAATGATGGCTTCTGGTAACAAATGCTTAAAAAGCTTAGCTAGATTAAAATAATTAGGTACTGCTGTAGTATAAAAGAACTATTCAGTTACAATTTCTAACAGAGGTTTTTTGTCTTTATCATTACTTATGGTGTTATTATTTACCGGGTTCTTGAAATACATTGCTACAGCAATACTAACCAAACATATTGACAAAATAGTAAATCCTGTAATCAAAATATTAAATAGAATATAACACACTACAGCAGTTATTATCAGTTCTAAAGCACTAGCATATGTTTTTAAAATAGAGTTCAGATTCTTTAGGAAAAAGCTAGTTACAATACCAACTATGGCACTATTTACTATTATTAGCATTACTATTATATCTTCTAGAGACTCCATATCATTAAATATGGTTTTTAATTCACCTTTGTACAATAAAATAAAAAAATTACAGATTACAGAATCAAGATACATAAACACATTTTGCAAGAATATATCAACATTTGAACCTTTTGTTTTCAAAAGATATTCGTTATAAGTACCAGCAAGACAGGAACAAAAATTCTGAAAATTTATTGATAAAAAATAAATATTAAAAATTTGAGACCACATATCTGTATCACCTTTAGATTGTATTGATGCAGCATCAAAGTTTTTGATCATACATCCCAATGTTAGAATGCTTAAAGAAATCCATTGCATATTTGTCAATTTCTTGCTGAATAAGAACTGGAACAATTTATATAATTAGCTTTATAATCTTCAATTATTGATAACAGCAATAAAAGAAGAAGGATAAATATTGAAGATCTTACCTGAAATAAAATAGCTGTAAGTACAACTCTGAATTGTAGAAGTATGTAATATGAAGTGGGATCATAGTGAGACAAATTAATAAATGCCAAGTTATTGTAAAAACAATACAACAAGGATGGAATAAAGTACAGTAGGAGCAGATTGTAATTGATAGCAATCGCTTTGAAAATATGAGGTTTATTTCTGAAACAGGCAAGAGTAACTTCTACTTCACCATGTACAACAACAACATTAATGTAAATTAGCATTATAACATGTATCCAACGTCAATTTTTTTACTTATTTTATCATAATTGCCCATATTTATAAAGTAATTAACCAACAAAATTTTTTGCATCTAAAATTCATATTTGTGTCTAATTAAAAATTAAAAAAAGGACTACTTTATAGTAAAAATTATTTTTCGCATAATAGTGAGATAGAGCTATAGAATGTTAAAAAGAACCTCCAATTTCAAAATGAAATTCGTGACACACTAGACCCACACTATACCTAGAGTATGTAAAACTCCTGCATGATACAAGGGATTACGTGATTACGATCTTAGTGTGAGTAATAGTTGTAGGTATAACATTTTTTTAGGAAGTGGAGTGCATGATATACATACTTCTATTTGAGTATCTGTGTGCAGTCTTCAAGGGCTCTGTTTTAGTATACTCGTATTATGCATAATAAATGTTTCTATAGAAATGTTAAATATGGACAATTAAAAACTTTTCATTCAGAAATATATGAATTTAGCGTTTCATATAAACTAACCTAGTAGTACTTACCAGGTATAGTATGTTTCTAGGAGAGGCGGAAAAAAGTACATTGACCTTTGACGATATCATTGGGGTAGCCAACCTTTTTTTTTGGGTTTATTTTTTTATCCTTGTATCATAACATACATTATCAGAGTGAAAGATAAGGGTGCCTAGTGCAAAGTTCTCTATATATTGAAAGATTATCGTGTACTTAAATTAATTAAAAAGCAAATTAATATTAATTTAAATTTATTATTTATAAATCATAAGTTTTTACAATTTTCATTATGACATTTATAGTAGGTAAGTAGTTTAATAAGTAGGTACGTAGGTAGTTGTCAAAAACATAACCACTTCTTGGCAGTCAGGTAAAAGACGAACTTTTAATACTCATAATTTTTAAACAGTCAACCCTGAAGCATGCATAAAACTTCTCATAATAGAGTTATTAGATTTCTCGTATTCTGGGAACACGGTGGTACCTCCACCAAGTTGAGCTAAAAAGCGGCTCGGCCGTACCATCCTCGTTTTGAAGTGGTTTAGGCCATTTTCTACCCCTCTATAACATCCTTGTGAATGAAACTAGAAGCCTGAATTTTTAGTGAACAAACAGGGATTGTTAAACACGGCATATTTCAAATTTAATTCAATTTGAACCAGTAGTTTAAGAATTATAAATAGTCAAAGTTTCTTAATTTTGTCACTCACTCACTGACTGACTAAACAATCATCAAAACTCTAAGGCACTTCTAGCAGACATAGAAGTTTAAAATTTGGAATACAATTAGTGTTAGTATTTAAGTTAAATAAATTTTTTAAATAAAAATATTTTGCACTTTAGTCCAGTTTTCTAGATAATCTCTCTCAAAATATAAAAAAAAATATATATATATATATATATATAAAAAAAAAAATGTTAAGTGCTGAAGTGTTTGTACTAGGGCACGTGGTAACTAATCCAACTGCAGAGAGGTGTAAGACAGGGTGACGTTACATCCCCGAAACTCTTCACCGCTGCGTTGAAAGACGTTTTCAAGCTACTGGACTGGAAAGGATACGGTATTAACATCAATGGCGAGTACATCACTCACCTTCGATTTACCGACGACATAGTCCTTATGGCAGAATCGCTGGAAGACCTAAGCACTATGCTCAATGACCTCAATGGAGTCTCCCAACGGATAGGTCTTAAGATGAACATGGACAAAACAAAGATCATGTTAATGTCCATGTCACACCTATGCGGTAGTTGTTGGGAGCACTATGCTCGAAGTTGTTGACGAGTACGTTTACCTGGGACAAATAGTCCGACTAGGTAAGTCCAACTTCGACCGAGAGGTCAATCGACGGATTCAACTCGGCTGAGCAGCGTTCGGGAAATTACGACACATCTTCTCGTCAGGTATACCTCAATCTCTGAAAACTAAAGTGTACAACCAGTGCGTGTTGCCAGTGATGACTTACGGAACCGAGACGTGGTCCTTCACTGCTGGCCGTATGAGGACGCTCAAGGTCGCTAAGCAAGCTATGGAGAGGGCTATGCTCGAAGTTTCTCTGCGTGATAGACTCAGAAATGAGGATATCCGCAGTAAAACCAAAGTGACCGACATAGCCCAACGGATTAGTAAGCTGAAGTGGCAATGGGCCGGCCATGTAGCTCGAAGAACCGATAACCGATGGGGAAGAAAGGTTCTCGAGTGGCAGCCTCGTACCGGTAGGCGTAGTGTAGGGCGACCCCCCACTAGATGGAGTGACGACCTGGTAAGACATGCAAGAAGTCGATGGATGCAGGTGGCTCAGGACCGTGCTTTGTAGCATTACTTGGGAGAGGCCTATGTTCAGCAGTGGACTTGTGAAGGGCTGTAATGATGATGATGATGAGATATATATATAATATCTACTAACTGCATAAATAACTGTAATCCCATATAAATATATAGGATAGGATTACAAAGTTACGTTTGCAGTGAATGAATCAGTATACCTGTATATGTATAACACAATGGAATAAAAGGCGTAGATAGGTATGTTGTTGGTATTCAAGAAGTAGAAGCCATAGCATAAAAACACAATGTATCTCACAAGTAATACATATTATATTAGAATGTTCAGTGCAATTGCCAAGGCAATCTATTTATTTAAAACATAAAAGATTTTTATGTTGTTGTTAGGTTAGCTAATTACGGTGTAATAACTTAAGACATAAGGATCCTTAAGTAGAGACTGAATAGTGTTTTTTTTTACAAGTAATGTTTATGATGAAATAAGAGACAATAACATCTGCACATTTAAACAAACTTCACATTAATTATAATAGTAAATAAAAATTAAAACAACTACTATAGCCAAAAATTTAAAATCTCAAACTATCTACATGCAAGCGCATTCCAAAGCAGAATACGGAATGAGTTCTGCTCCACCCGTTTTCTCAAATACACATGGTATGAGACCGCAAATCGTGTCGAAACAGGTTTGTTATCTCTGAATGACACTGAGACACGCTTGGCGCATAATGATACATAATCTATAAAGTGTATGGAAGCAATACCTGTCGTTTTGTTTCGATGCTAATATAATACTTGAGGTCAATGTAAGTTTTTTTGCCTGCCCTAGAAACATACTATTGTGGAATTCCTTTTCTATCCAAGAGTTACATGGGTAGATACAACCCTCTGATGTACTTTTGCTGCCAAGCAGCGATGCTTGCACTGATGTGTTCCAGTTTAATTGGTGTAGAGCCAGTATAATTGCAGACTGTAAGGTATTCCATCTTAGTGGAGGAAGAGTTGTTCTTCAGAGATGGCAAAGCTCCTTAATTTAAAATTGTTTCCATGGGTTACAGTAGACACTTACCAATAAGTTGGCTGTCACAAACTTAATTTGTTACTCACTAGTATGCAATTTTTTTATTTTTGGTTTTAGAGCTACTTTGTTTTACATCAACACCAATGAAATTGTTAGTTTCAATTTTATGTGCTGATTTACCACATTTTCACCATAGAAGGAAAACATGAGAAAATATAAAAATTTAAAGGGGAAAAACTGTGAACTCCCTCAACGTTTATTGAAGCTGCATGGCTCTGGCAGCTCCAACATCCCCTGCACACAACGACACCACATTTTCCCTCTCATTTTAAAAATGAATCTATATAAAACAATGGCATATATGAAACCTATTATCATAAATACACTAATTTCAATATTTGCATTTAAAGATTGTACATTCCCTTTAATTATAAAAAAATACTTACTCTCTTTTATATGAGTAAAGGGTTGCTGATATGAATAACTTTAATAACTCTGATAGAAATACAACAAGTGTAGTGTTGTAGTCATATCCACCATTTTCAGTTTTTGATGCAGTCACAAAGACTCCTTAAAATGTAAATTAATAACAATAATAAATAAACATTAACCAAAAACCAATATATAATAAATATACAAAATAATTTAGTATTATATTCTACATGCATAAATAAGATTATCTATAATAAGATCCTTCTAATCTCAAATTATGCAAGAGGCACTGGTTGCCTAATACAATGCTTTAAATTTATGAGTACTCCCATGTTAATGTGACTGAATGTCCAATGATAATGACCAATTTGTGTGCATTATCTTTATCTACATACTATAAATGTGACATGACTACATTGGAGAGTTGCACACTTTCAAATTAGAAGGACCTACTTTGAAGAGCACCAAGCATACAATGGTATATTTTATATATTAACAAATATGTTGATAGTGATTTAAATACTAATCACATGCTATACAAAAAAATTATGTACTCATTAACTGTCCAGACTTTATTTACTAAAATTTTTTTTTTACTAATGTTCACTGCCACCACTAGGTGCATGCAGATTTCAGCAAATTACAATTTTATTACTTTTCTGATTGTTTGTTTACGAACCTTGAAATACAAATAAAATTATATATAATGAAAATATAACAAAAGCTTCTTTATTGGGAAATAGCTTCTTAAATTCATTCATTTTAGTTTTGATGATCTGAAAATATTAACTGACTATCACTATATTAGTATCAACATTATTTTTTCTTCCAATGCACCCTCAAAAGATCTTTGATTGATTAGACAGGAAATTATACAAACGATATAACGTCAAGTTTTTTATAACAATGAACAGTTAACTATATTTTATATTGTAAAAAGGAAACGAAATCTTAAAATATTCATTTATATTATTGAATAAAAATCACTATCAAGCTTTACAATAGGTAGTTTCAACTTGTATGCTTGTATCTTGTAATCTCTGTTGACATTTGACAACTTGCCAAGTTGACAAAAGAAATGATTGTTGTTGTTGTTTTTATTATTCGCTCGAGAGAGCAGGCAAAGGAACTAAGCCATACAGCCTTGTCTTTTTTAATTTGAATATATAGAATTTTGAAGTGTAAAGGCCGGAAACCAAGTCTTATTTTTCTTCTTTCCATCTCTTCAAAATCCATAAAGGCCGAAGACAAGTCTTATTTTCTTTAATTCTTGAATATAATATTTTCAAAAACCATAAAGGCTAGCCAAGCCTTCTTTATATTTTAATATTTATAAGTTTCAATCTATATAGATTTATCAGTCCAATATTTTGAAATACAGGAATACCATATTTCATATTTCTTTTACAGTATTACGAATAAAATTGTAAAGTACTAAATATGTCTTAGTATTCCTAAGAACATCTTGCAGGGCACGCGGGACGCTTTCTGAGTTTTCATAAAGTATAAGTTTTCCAATGAGTAGCAATCTTTCTATGGCTTACGCTGGGCAGTTAAATATTGTATGTTCTGCAGTCTGATCTGCTTCTGTATCGCAGAAGTTGCATGTTGCAGATGCTACTATTCTCATCCTGGAAAGATGAGCGTTCAGTCGATAGTGGCCAAATAAAAGTCTGCACATTAATGTATAAATTTTTCTGCTATGATATCTCCCGTTGCGAGAAAACCAAGGAATACTTAATTCTGAATTAATTGATGCATACCAACGACCTTTTCCAGCCTCTAAAAACATTTCCAAGCCAATTATTTGCGCATTGCGCATGCGCGACAGAATAAAGGTGAAACTCACATCATCAACTGCAGATCAGCTGATGCTACACGGACTACCTGTTAGGTCATAATATACTCTTATTTGATATCCGCTGCCTCCGGTCGGTATCTAATTAGATACCAAATACTGCCCTATGAAAAAATATTTTTAAGCTATTGCATAGCTTCTATGGCTTGAGCGCGGGGACCGAATCCAGAAATTCCGTAACGAAAAAAAAACCTCACGCTCCCCACTCCGACGGGCACAGAGGTGTGGCGTTGAAAGCCGTGCATCTTCTAACGTCGTTTCAGTTCGGCAGACTTCGACACGGTGTTTGTGTGCGTGCGACTAGACGTATGCGTATACACTAGCTGCTAACTCAATGATAAAAATTCCTGAATAACCTACATGTATTGTAAGATATTAAAAATATTTTAAACAATATTAACTTCTCATTTATTCAATAAGAGAAAAAAAAATTGTTTTCTTATCGGTCACCACACTCAAAAAGTGTAACTTGATTTAATATCAAACTTAACTGCATAAATAAAATAAATAAATAATTATAATTGCATAAGTTGATAAAAAATGCTACGCAATAGCTTTACCGCGGCAGTCACCGAGTGCCACACGTATTTTGTTTTGAACAAAACCGAAGACAATATGCAATGAATAATAAAGTCAAAGACAAAGATATGCTCTTCTCTTCGAAATTGAGAAGGCCCATTTTAGCGGTTGGGTCAAAAATGTGTTATTTTTCCAATTCTCATTTATTTTTAGTGTAGAATGTAACTAAAAAATAGTTTTATAACATATTTCAAATAACTTGACGTTGTATTTATTTCAAATTCACACAAAAATATATTTGAAATATTGTTTGAAATGTCCTACAGATAAAAATTATTTTTTTTTATATATTTTGGTATGAGTAACGAATAGAAACACATAAAACATAAAAATATACGTATTTCCAAACATTTTCATACAAATTTCTCCAAAAACAAAAGTGTAGAATTCAAGTTAGTAGTAATTCAGAATTATACTACTACTATCTATAAAGGGTAACTTATGAATTTTATTACAATTTCTAGCAACTAAAAAATTTACATATAGATCATTCAAAGCTAGCCCAAAACACACCTCCAATAAACTTGTTTCTACAACCTTTTAACCAAAATCTTTTTCTCTACATCATCATCATGCCACACTACGCCTTAACGCCTGTAAGTTTTAAATATATAAGCCCAACAGAATCGCTAAAATCTCATGTAAAATAATTGAATAACTCGTTTTTGCATTTCCGCTTGTTTTTTCCAGACAGAGACTGATTAAAATGGGTCCCATAGTGAGCGTGTATCATGATTTGTAAAATATTTATTATGAGTGCACCCAGACCAACAAAAAATAATGACTGTGATTGACTCAACAGCTGAAGCAAAAATATTAATTGTATTCTTGGAAGAAACAAACGAAGTATTTTAAAGCGTTCTGTTACAAGAATAATATTTAGATAATAAAACTACTGAATTAAAATGACCATTTTAATTCAGTAGGGCGCAAGGCTCTAGTTTCAAATGAAAAAAATATTAGAAAAACTTTTAGATTATGATATTTTTGAAGAAGACAAAACATTAAAAACTAGAACGAACAATGTGTGGCAAGAAGTGTGTAACTCTTTGGACAATTCAATAAGTGTTGTAAATTTATTCAATCATGTCAAACAAGATAGGCATAATACCCTCACTTATTATAAAAGACATAAAGGCTTGCAAGATACTATTATAGATAATATAGAAGAAGAAAACCACGATTATAACATTGAGATAGATGGCTGCGAATAAGAAAAGTTGAAAAACAGGATAATGAGATTAAAAGAAATGAAAATGAAATAGATACTGATGAAGAAGAAATTCCCAAGTGACAACAAATTTTTTTAATTTTTTAATTGATATCTCTCAATGATCTTAATAAGCACTTCTCCGCGGCAACAAATTCGATAATTCCATTAAACATAGAACTATTTCTCTTATCTCATCACATCCCAAAATCGACGCAAACTGCTTTGCTTTTTCTCCAATAACTAATGAAGATGTTCGTAAAATTATTTTTTCCATTAAATCTAAAGTAGCTGGCTATGACGATGTGAGTATAAATATGATTATCCCCATACTTGGAAACATTCTCCCAATCATTACCCACATCATAAAATTTTTCTTTTTCTACTGGGGTTTTCCCATCTTTTTAGCGTAAAGCATTTATCCTTCCAGTTCCCAAGTTAAATAATCCCAGTTCTGTTAACCATTTTCGACCAATTTCTATACATCCCTTTCTTTTAAAGATTTTAGAATCAGCTGCATACAAACAGCTATCCAGCTACATTTATAAAAATAATCTTCTTAGTCCCTTACAATCAGGCTTTCGTCCTGGGCGTAGTACAACCACTGCTCTCCTTAAAGTTCTTGACGATGTACGAGAGGGTATGGAAAAATCAAAATTAACGGTTCTCGTATTAATTGACTACTCCAATGCTTTCTGTACAGTCGATCATGACATACTTCTTGCTATCTGTAAATACATGGGTTTCTCTTCGTCAGTTTTGGATTGGTTATCAACTTATCTTCGTGGTCGCCAGCAAAGTGTTAAAGTCAACCAACAGTCTTTCTCTGATTGGTCTGATCTTACTACTGGCGTTCCACAAGGCGGAATTCTTTCTCCTTTATTATTTTCTATTTTTATAAATCTCCTAACAGTAAATTTCAAATGCTCCTACCATCTGTATGCTGACGATTTACAGCTGTACGCTCGGATTGATCCAGCAGGGGTTAACTTCGCGATCGAAATTTTGCTACCTTTAAGAGGATGGTGACTGATCACTACCTTTCTTCTTCCAGCAATTAACTTTCATATTTAATTTGTGACTTGATATTATAAATTATTCAAATTGTTTTAGTATAGTATGTTCGTATGTAAGTATGCTTAAAACGTATGTACTATATACTATTTAAACATTATGTATGTAATGTATCAGGTATTGAGTATATTACTTAGGTTAATTGTAGTTGTGTATATTTATTTTTGTATTTACACTTATGGTATGTGTATTTTTATTTTTACATTCACATAATTCCTCATATTTTATGGGACACAAACGAGAAAAAAAGTCTGCCTATCGGCATAGCAATATTTCATAAATTTCTTTTTGTATCGAGTCCGATATAAGTAATTGAAAATTAAATGTACTATGAGATTTTTACGCATAATTGGTGGAATAGTTGGTGATACCGTTGATGCAGCCTTTTTTACTTTTAATGAGATTTATAAAGCGGTTTGTAGCTTTCATATTTTCAGACAATACTATTAAAATTTTTGTGACAGTCCTGGTTGCTAAGCCCACATTAATAAATGAACAGGTTCTTGTGGAAAAAGTACTATAAATATCAAATAAAGCATATTTTAAACATGGGTTCATTTTTATTTATGAGTAGAACTGCACTCTGTCATCTGTATGCGCCTGTAATCAAACCGATCTAAACGTAAATTTTATAGTTGGTACGTAAGCGACCCAACTTAGATCCGCTCCGACTCTACTCATATTTTAACTGCAATTTGAAATTTCGATTTACCACGTTATCGGTTGTGAAGAAAAACATCACAGGAAATCTGCATATCTGAGATGTTAAAAAAATATCTCGGAAATCATTTTTAGGTATAGGTATGTGAAGTCGGTCATCCAGCGTTGGATTCAACTTAATCAACTCCTTTTTGACCTTTCTAACTCGCTGTGGCATGTGCTCAGTAGTGGGATGTATTTAAGCTGCTACTTTTTTACTTTCAATAGCTTTCCACTGCTGATCACAAGCTTCCTCCATTGTATGACAAATAGAACGGTTATTTGCAGTAGTATTCACGCTTGGCAAGCGGGTTGGCAACTGCTGGAAAAAAACTATAAAGAAAGCCGGTGTAACAAAACAGAGACGCTATACGACTAAGTCATTGTATCACTTGCACAGAAAATTTACGACTAAAGTCGATTACAAATTGAGCTTTTCAACTTTTAGAAAATTAAGAATATTTTGGGTTCTTTTTCCATCGCAAAATTCCAATTCCAACGAGACATGCCTGTGCATGAAGCGATGCATTGACACCACATGATTCCTCACAAAAACATCACTGACGTGCTAATAGACACTTGCTGTGTCTCTGCTGTGTTTCAGTCCTCAATGTTTACTGAGAATATGCAAAGATTGCAAGGTAAGTTATTAAAAACTTTCAAGAATTTGATAACTACCTATGTTGATTTTTCCTATTGGTCCTGGGCATCAAAACGAGAACAAATTGTACAAAACGGATGGGAAAAGTTTATCAGAGTAATGAAAAAAAGAGGAAATCATCACGCGGTCAAGAGATGCTATTCATATTTTTGAAAAAGTTAGAGAACTTTTCTAAGTGTTGTGGAAGTGTGTGCTCAGCATAATGCTATAAAGACATTAAAAAACAATTTGCAACTCGAAGAATCCATTACTCATGTGACTTCTCAGCAAAGTGTAAATGTCAGTATGCTAAAGAGATTCAGGCAGTACATTTTGGTGGAAGTAGAAAACAAGTGACTTTACATACGTTTATTGTATGTCTTTGACAGCGATTATACCAAAACAACACAATCTTTTGCCACAGTAGGTCAAAATTTAAGACTGAATACTGCTGATGTTTGGGCACACGTAGTTCCTATCCTTAAATATCTCAAACAAAAGGCACGTCAAATTACGACCATTCACTTTGTGTCTGATTCTGCCACAAGCCGATACAGAAAATACAAGAAATTCTTTGTTATCTTAAAATGAAATAATCCCAGTCTGACCTCATTGGCATGGAACTACACTGAGTCATGGCAAGAGGGCACCTGACGGTGTTGAAGGAACGCTGAAACGCACCGCTGATGCAATTGTTTCCCGTGGCCACGATATTTCCGATTTCGACACTTTTCTTGAAGAATCAAAAGCTAATGTGAAAAATGTCGTAATTAAATATTTAATTACGACATTGTAGAAAAAGATATACTGCTACCTACAGATATCCGTTCTTTCGAAAGGACAGATAAGTATCAGGTGACAATGCTAAACCTAAGTTGTGTTGAAAAAGCTTGTACTATTTAGCCTCTCTGCTGTAATCACGTCAAATATCTTGGCTCACATGTTCTTAGGCCTGATATTTTGTCAAGCTCTACCAATTCAGACCCAGCTGATGAGATAGAGAATACTGATCAATCAAATATAATTTATTCTGTAGTTCCTTTACACAGATCTTATGCAAATTGTGTTACGATTAAAGCCAATATCCCGGAAGATCTTAGGTCTGAAATTGCGACAGAAGCATCAGAAGTGAGATCTGAATGCGCTGAATTATTTTTGTCAGAGGAAATGATCAATGTTCAGAATTTGACGACAGTGGATACTTTTAATTTACCGGAGGCTGACAATGGATTAAATATTTCAGAAGATGTTCAAATTCTTGATCATTCTTTACAGACAACAATAAAATCGGCAATTGACGAACCTCTCACTCAACAATCTTCCTTGCATTTGACTGATCTGGCTATCACTGCTGACTCTCCTGAAACTACGAGATTTCCATGAGATAATTGGGTGGTGGTAAAATTTGTTTCCGAGAAAAAGAAAAAAACATCGTTATGTGGGTTAAGTTATCATGAGAGTCTAGCTAGCCTTAATATAAAATTTGCCAGAAAAATTAATGAAAGAAGATTTTAATGGCTAGAAAAACCCGATATATAAGCGATTGGAAAATATCAAGTGATAAAAAAACTTCCACAACCATGTTATAAATCCTCCTCTAAGGCTGCGTTTCCACCAGAGATGTGCGAGGATGCGTAGCGAGAGATATGTTTGTAAAGAACCAATAGAATCGCATCATTTACCTCGCCTCGGTCAGCACCATTCTGGTGGAAACGGCTCAGCGGAGCTAGATTTTTGCGCATACAAAACAAGCGAGGGATGTGTTGCGAGGGATGTGTGGGATGGATGTGTTGCGAGGAATGTGTGTTGAGAAGGATGTGTTGCGAGGTTTGCGCATACTGTACCAGCCAGTCCATAGACGGAGTTTGTTGGAAGTGGAAGTGCGCAAAATAGATATGGATACTTGGAAAAAGAAGATACTTTTATATTTAACAATTTGCGATGAAGAAATGGAAGCAGAAGATACGGAGTTTATTAGTTCTATAATTTTGAGCAATAGAAGAACACACAGGTTTTGGATACGTAATCATATTAAATATCATCGATTACATGGAGAATTCTTTACCTTTTCTTATACGGCTGATGATGAAATATTCGAAAATTCTTATCGGGTATCTAGAAGTAACTTTTATGAGTTACACAATTTGATTGAGAACATTATCAAGAAGGAAGACACTCACTACAGAGAATGAATCAGCACCAAGAAAAAATTGGGGGTATGTTTAAAGTAAGTAAAATAGTTTGAATCAATTTTGTCTTTATTTAACATATTAATTGAAAAGTACAATATAATCTGCAAAATAACTAGACAACAAGTTCCTCTTTTTCATGGTAAATTAGGCTCTGTTCCTACTTTGTTTGAAGTATTTGGCGTTTGTAGGTCTGAATGTTGTGTTCCCGGAGATGCTGGTTATTCAACTTCCAGTTGGAAAGACGAATCCATCTCCCGATTATTCCTGGTCCGGAGATGCTGGTTGTACAGCTTCCAGTTGGAAAGACGAATCCTTCTGTCCCACTGTTTTATTTGTATTCCTAGTCCCCGGAGATGCTGGTTGTACAGCTTCCAGTTGGAAAGACGAATCCATCTGGCCCGCTGTTTTATTTGTATTCCTAGTCCCCGGAGATGCTGGTTGTACAGCTTCCAGTTGGAAAGACGAATCCTTCTGTCCCGCTTTTTTATTTGTATTCCTAGTCCCCGGAGATGCTGGTTGTACAGCTTCTAGTTGGAAAGACGAATCCTTCTGTCCCGCTATATTACTTGCGATGGTATCAGAGCTTGAAGAATAACTAAGTTTTTCAGGATCCAGCTGAGGCGGCAAATCCAACTGGCCTGCTATATTACTTGCGTTGGTACCAGAGCTTGAAGAATAACCAATATTTTGATTATACCACGACAGCACGTAAGATTCTTCGGCTTCGCTAATCATATTAAAAAGTTTCCTTTTTAAAGGAACTTGCATGTAATCTGGTAAATTTTTAAATGTTTTCGCCATTGAAAGAAAAAAATGATCAGTATCATCGCAGTCCATTGGTTTTAAAAGTTCTTTTAATTCTTGCCTTTCTTTTCGAAAATCTTCTTGATTTTTCATATGTTTTTGTATTAAAATTGATAATTCATCGTCTTTTTTCTTCTTTGATGATGACGGGGTGAACGAATGTGATAAAATGCCTGAAGTTGAGGCTATTTCGTAAAGAGTGTCGGGATTGTCAACTTGATTTGGTGTATGTTCAGTGCTCTCGAAGAGTCATCTTGTTTAATCAATATGAATGCTTGCGAAGAGTCATCTTTATTATTTGGATCTATATTATTTGGTGACGAAACATCCTCTTTATAACTTGACTCTCTATCTCTGTTGGCCAGGTACGGTAAAAGAAATTCCATAAATTTTTGGTATTACCATTCGCGTGTTTTGGTTGTAGCCTGTCCGCTTTTTTTAGATTTCTGCCTCTTTAGCGCGTCCCGATGACTATCCCGTAGTTGTTTCCAACAATACTTTGCGCTTTTCACTGAAATAATAGAAAATTATGATTAGGAATATAACATTTTATACGAAGCATATTTATTGTCTTACAGATCGCAAAAAATCAGTAACAGGTAAAGAGTACTTTTACCTGTTACTTTAATTTAGATAATTATTTTATTATTATTATAAACAATCCTTTTTTGCAGGTATTTATCTACGGGCTCGTCGTTCACAAGATTGTGAGAAAATTTTAGAATTGGAGTAGCAAGTGTGTCGAGAATTGTGGCAGAAGTTTGCAATGCTCTTTGGCTTGTTTTACAACCTCTTGTTATTCCAAAACCTATCAAAGACGACTGGAAGCGAATAGCAAAGGATTTTCAAGAGCTATGGCAGTTTAAAAATTGTTTGGGGGCTCTAGACGGTAAACATATTTATATAATGTGTCCTGCAAACGCTGGGTCCTCTTTTTTTAATTACAAACAAAGATTTTCTATAGTGCTTAGCTGACGCTAGGAGAAAGATTATAATGGTTGATGTGGGATCCATGGGAAGATTTAGTGATGCTGGAATATTTGATGATAGTGTTTTTGGGAAATATTTGAAAGAAAAAAGATTGAATCTTCCAAAACCTGAACCATTATATGTAGGAGGTGAACCATTACCATTTTTATTCATTGGAGATAAGGCTTTTCCTTTGATGGAAAATTTCATGCGCCCATATCCGCGGGACCAGTTAGACCAACAGAAACGTATATTTAACTATAGACTTTCGAGGGCACGTCGCATTGTGGAATATACATTCGGTGTATTGGCCACGAAAGTGGTATGTGTATCGTAAAGACTTCGTATGCAGAGTGGAAACGGTTGACAAAATCGTAAAAGCCACATGTGTAATGCATTTTTTTTTAATAATTGAAAGACAAACTAATTATTTGGATTCCATTGATAAAACAAATACAAGTACTCTTGTATCCGTTCCTAGCATTTCCGTCGTCGAGTCAAGTGATGGTTATGAAGTAAGAGAGAAATACTGCTCTTATTTCAATAATCAAGGAAAAGTGTCATGGCAGGATACTCGTATTTCGTCACGAATTCATCGCACACAATAAAAATATTGTAACTTGTATTTCAATATATCTGATTTTAATACATGATTATTACTTACCAACTTCATATTTTATTTCTTTGACTATTTCCTCCCACGCGGCGTTCTTTTTTTTCATTACATTTGTAAAAAGACAAAGAAGTGTTCCACAAACACGGAAACTTTTTAACGGCATCAATTAATTTTTTGTCCATTACGCTACGCAACCATACGACATGCGTACGACTACAAGCGCTAACGACAGCAAAGTGAGACGTGAGCGGCAGGAAGGTGTTCCGCTCCCACTACACCGCACCCCCGTCGACACATTTCACAGCTTCGCAACGCATCCTCGCACCACACATTAATGCGCATTTTCACAGCTCCGCTACACATACTAGTAGGCACATTTTCATCGCACAGCTTTGGTGGAAACTCCCACACATTTTCACAACACAGCTAGACATCCTCGCACGACACATTTCCACCGCACATCTCTGGTGGAAACGCAGCCTAAAAGGACAGGTGCATTCGAATTTCCTAAGTCACTAAGACAATTGAACATTCATTAACACTACTTTGATTTTATTTGAAGAAGTTAAACTTTCTTTTGCGTTTTGAATTTTAGAAGTATTGTTTTATGACTTTCAGAAGAGAGACTTGTTATTGTGTTTTTACGAATAATTTTATTTTTTGTTAATATGATACCGATTAGTCGCTTAAAGGTTATGAGGGCGACACTGAAAGTTTTTAGAACTGGCCACTTGTAAACGATATAATAAAAAAATAATTCAAATTTTGAAAATGGAACTCTGCCAACATTGTGCATGTATTTTATAAATTTGTCATTTCTTTACGATTTGACGGCAAATTGAAAATTGTTTGTCACGTCACGTCAGCATGAATTTAATGCGAGAAAATTTTCGTACAATGATTTTTTATGACTTTTGATGTCATTTAAGTCAACAAGAAAGTTATGATAGACTTCGATTGGCCTTTCACGATGAAACCTCATCTCGTGCCACTGTTTACAACTTTGATTTGGTTTAATGAGTTTAAGCGTGGTCGCACTAATCTCACCGATGATCTGGCTGAGGGACGGCCTTTCTACGGCGACGACTGAAGATAACATCAGTGTTGTGCGGCGTATAATAGAGACGACATAAGAGTGACTTATCTTTTTTTTTGTTTTTGTTTACTCTACAGACCTGTAGTCCGTACCCTTTCTTACATTTATTTTTAATTGTTATAATTTATTATGTAGTTTCTAAGCTATCACATCTCTCCGCGTTTATTTAAATATACATTTTTCTATTAACATAGATTATTATATTGTGCCTTATATCTAAATGGTTAGTATTAATTTTTTACTCTTCTTTTTTGTGTAACGATCATTTATCATTTGACTTCTTTTTTTTGTTTTATTATGTTCTCTTTTTTTGTTTTCCTCTCTTTGTTTTTCTTTTTCTTTTTTTTTTTTTGCATCCTAAACTATGGCTTTAAAACATTAATCTCTACATACATATAATTAACTCATAAGTAACTATAATTGGTTAGGTTAGGTTAGGTAGTTTCTATGCTACCACATCTCTTCGCATTTATTTAAACATTTTTCCATTTACATAGATTATGTTATTGTGCCTTATATCTAAATGGTTAGTATTAATAAGGTGCAGGGAGGCAATTGCAACTAAAAAATATGAGCACAAAACTTCGAATTCATGTAGGTACCCATTTTTTGATGAGCCTGAAATAAAAAAAATTGTTTTTACTAAGTGCCCTATGTGTTATAAAAAAAGCCTTAAATAAATCATTTCTGCGAGAACGCACAAGGTTGCATTTACACCACACCGGGGTAATTGCAACTGTAAGCTGTAAGTATGCTATAGATTATGAATATACATTTTAAATGAGTGTAAGTTGTAATCTGTATTGTCTTTTTTCCGACAATAGTTTTTATATCAGCGTTAGAAGGTTTGAATTACTATAAAATTTTGTTAAAAAATGTTAAGGGGTAAAAGCAACTCTTTTTTCGAGAATAGTGATGGATATGATATATTATCATACGTTTAATCGATAAGGTCTCTCGTCACTTTTTGTACAAAAAATCTAAGTAAGAAAGTTATTAATTACAGTAAAAACTAACTTAGGTATATCTTACTAAGTATACTTTTAATATGCAGTAAATTAAAGAGTTTGCACTAGGTCAAGGTTATACAATATAATAATGTTCTTACCATTGTAAGAAAGTCAGTGTTGTGTGTGTGTGTGTGTGTGTGTGTGTGTGTGTGTGTGTGTGTGTGTGTGTGTGTGTGTGTGTGTGTGTGTGTGTGTGTGTGTGTGTGTCTGTGTGTGTGTGAGAGAAAGAGAGAGAGAGACCAGCCAGTAATGGATAAAAGAGTAACATTAAAAAAACTGTGTTTTAAAATCTGTTTTTATTAAATAACAGCTGAAAATTTTAGTCATTTATGGTAACTCGACAAAACAGTTAACTATGTACTTATATAAAATGAAAAAATGTCATCACACCATTTAATTGCCATCACCGGCAAATATAATGTGCAATAAACATATGTTCATTATGACATTTATTGGACATTATAATTACTGAAATTAAAATCGAATATGAATTGCCCTCGACGAGTAATTGTTGGCTCAGGTAACATAAGAACAATATCGTTTAAATGTTTGATGGTACAAATATCATCTACCGTTGGATAAGTAAACGTGGTTCCCACTTTAGCTTTTGACGTTTTAACTTTTCTTACAAACTTTACTGTTGGACATTTTGCATCATCTAATGTCAAAACTTGGCCAACAAAGTGCTTCACACTTTTTTGTAGTAAATTGGGCTACTATCCAATCATCGTTTTTGATTTTTTTTTTCATCGGCAAAATATTCAATGTCAGAGAAGCCAAATTTAATTTCTGTTGGGTAGTTTTCTTTTTCCTCATCTTCGCTTAAGCACGCAGCTATGTAGTCTTCAAAATTTTCATAATCCGAGTTATCACTGTCTGCTAATTCAAAAGTGCAATCTGATGTTAATGAGCTCGATTCACTGTCAAATTTTCTCTTTTTATGCTTTGTCACTTTTTGATTTTTGGTGCAATATTTTTTCTTGTGATTTTTAATATTTTTTAAATTTTTTACATTTGACTTTCTTTTATTCTTTTTTATGAACTTTTTTTTCGTTGTCTGCACTGCCCTTATCTGATAAACATCCGGTGAATAATTTTCTGCTCTTCGAAGTTTTGATTCATTTTCGATTTGTGTATCTTGTTCTGTTTAAATCCTTTATTTTTGTTCTTTTTCTTTGCTTCTTTCTCGTTTCTTTCTTTCAAGTCATTCTTCATTTTCTCTATAGTATCTTTATATGTTAGCACTTCTGCTCCTTGAGTGTTAACGCGCTTTTTAGTCTTTTTAAGCGGATCATTTCGAGCAATAGACTGCAAAATTAGCTGCTCCAATGATATGTTTTCCGTAACATTTTTGGGCTGGAAGGTTTCATTATTGTTACTTTTATTAAAATTTGCTGGTACAATAACTACATCAGAAATATTTTTATTTTTTCCTTTTTTGAAACGTAAGAATCAATATTCTGTTTAGAATCCACATATGAGTTTATTTTATTAATAGCCAAGCTCAGTAGACTTGGTACGTTGTAGTGAGGTGTTATTGAGTCATTCAAAAACGTTTTACTTTGTCCTTGAATTTCGAATTCTTTTTTGTCCTTGTGTACTACAATCGATCGATTGGTTTGATTTGGTTGTTTGGTTGGGTGATGGTTGAGCTATAGTATTATCGTCAACACACTTTTCATTAATATTAAAGGCAGATTGTTGATTTTCTATGAATTGCTGCCACTTTTGCCACGACAAAGAATCAAATTTGTCTTTCCCAATTGCGTCCCGGTTAACAGGAAAAATTCCAGTTCTTTTGAATCCGTTTTCCAAAATCACTGGATTCAAAGAATCCCAAATTTCCGTTATTATTCTTGCAAACTCTGCTTTTGGTAATTTTGAACCAACATGTAAGCGCTGCCATTTAATAAGTTCATCTTCCCATCTATCCTTAAGCGGTTTCATAGCGCTACAATCTAGGGGTTGCAGTATATGCGATGACTGGGGGGGGGGGTAATTTTATAATTGTGATTCCGTTAGTTGCTGCCAATTCGATCACATTCAAATCTACATGTGTAGAGTGCCCATCGTAAATCAGCAACACGGTTCTTTTGTCACCGACGGCGGGTATGAAAACGTCTTTCAAGTACTTTTCAAAAATTAGTAGTCTCCATCCATCCTTTTTGGCTAACTGCATAGGCAGTTTTTATATTTTCGTTTTGGTACATCCATTCGTTCCATAAATATTTGCCCTGGAATATAACCAAAGGCGGTATTTTTCCTCCAATTGCATTAGCAGCGAGCAAAACTGTCGTATTTTCGCGAGCTGGGCCACTTGGCTAGTTGATTGGAATCCAGTTAATCCAACAATTTTGCTTTTAGATGGATCTGAGCAAAAACTCGTCTCATCTAAGTTATAAATTTGTTCGGGTTTATTGCCAAGTTCTAACTCCCGAGTAACTTTTTCAAGCAAATCAAAATACTCATATATAACAAACGGGTTGCATGCCTTCTTCCGTGCAATTTCCACAGATTGTGGTTTTTTGTATGAGAGCTTATGTCGCTTGCGAAAAGCTAAGAACCACTCTTTCCCTGGTGCGTCATTATTGAAGGAATTCACTATACCGTTTCTACGGATATATTCCGAAATCATAGCAATTATTTCTTTTTTGGTCAGTGGATATCCACATTTTTCGAGGATATGAATATACGAGCTATTTTTTTTCGATGTCAGTAGAAAATACACTAGGTCTTCCAACTCTGGGCATTTTAGCTCCTCGAGTACCATATAGTCTAGAGATTATTGTAGATCTCGGTATATTGTATCTTTGTGCTGCATCATAGCTGTTAAGTTTTTTTGTGCGAACAGCTACAACTGCTTCATTCAACTGTTCTTCTGTGTATTTGGTCTCTTTTTTTCTTTTGTAGTTCCGCACCATCTAAAAAAAAACAAATAATCATAATATATCTTCATTCTAAATTTCATTTAGAGATCGTTAGCTTTAGATTAGTTTAGGTGTTTAAGCTTAAAGCGTTAACAAACATACAAACAAGCTTATAAACTTTTGCATTTATATTAAAATAGTAATGTCCCGCTTTTTTACGGGAAATAAAAGTAGTTCCCATACCAAATTTCATGAAAATCGATTCATCCGTTTTAGCGTGAAGGAGTAACAAACACACGTACTTACACAAACTTTCACTTTCATACTATTCGTGACTCAAGAGTAAAAAATGTATTACTACTTCGTACGTACTAAGCAAAAATAACAGAACCTTATTAAAAATATCGACATTGCAACATCTCTAACGTTTATGAATTTCATACAAATTTGTGTGGTAATTGCAAATAACCTTAAACTAACCTAAAAAGTCACAATTTCCCCTCAATGCGATTTCAAGGAGCTATTGTAACTCTAGCTTTATCACTTAACACGAGAGTCATACTAGCGAATAAATATTACAAAAAGCCTTACCTTATACAAAATCCGCTTTTTGTTAAAAACACCAGTCGTTTTAGCCGAAATTAGATATTTTTTCTCAAAAAACGTACACGTTGACTCCTCTGTAAACATCAACTAAAATGGCGGATATTAAAATGTCACTGTAGCTCAAGCAGGGTAAACGAAATCAGTGCCATCTTTTGTATCTAGAAAGAGTTTTTGTTCCCGCATACTTTTAACGATGGCATTATTCGTAGAAATTGAATGGCGGGAAATTATTTAAAATAGTTGCATTTTCCCTGTAGTTGCATTTACCTCGCTGGACCTTACCTTTTTTTTTTTGAGTAACGATCATTTATCATGTAACATGTTTGTTTTATTTTGTTCTTTTTTTTCATGCATCTTAAACTATAGTTTCAAAACCTTTATATCTACATACTTATAACTAACTTATAACTATAATATTCAAAATAGTCCTATTTTAAGAGTGAATAAAATTGTTGCGGTCATGTCACTTAACGTCCGTTTGAATGTCGTTTACACCGCTTCGTCTCGGACCACGTTAATAATGTTGCTTGCAACCTTTAAGTCTCGATGATGTATTGCCATTTTGATGTTGTAATCCCTAATTCTGTTTGTGGTGGCAGACTCGGCGCGCAAAATGAAATAGGCAACTGCTTTTTCCTCACACCAATCTGTGTAGTATGTCAAGCAATGAAGAATTAACGCAACTTGGAAGAAATTTTGGGCATTAACCTTTTGAGCGCCAAAGTCGTCTATACGTGACCAGCACCCGCGGGCCCTGAGCGCCAACGATGTCTATAGTTGACAAAAAACCCGGCCGACAAAAATATGAAATATAGACATTGGAAAATTGTTACTGGTATTTTAATTCTACACCCCTCAAAAAAAGAATAACCCAGCAACATGTGAGTATAAAAAACAAGTCTCCTAGAGCCACAAGTACTAAGAAACATTGAACTAAAAAAAAAATGGATTTTTATCTAAGCAAATACTATGTCCAGCACGCCAAAGTCGTCTATGTTTGACCGCTAGTGTTGTAATGCGTTAGGCATAAATTTATTGAAAACTATTCAAAATTAAGCTCAAACGTGTTTTTTTTCTATTATTATTGATATTTAAATAAAACAAAAGGTTAGAAATATAAAACTATAATTAGCTACATGAATAAAAAAAAATTATCAAATTATCTTCGCATAATAAATCTAATATCTCAACTCTGGCGCATCCTTAGCGCGACATCGAAAATCAGTTCACTGGGCCCGGGCGCCGTGGTCAAGTATAGACGACACGCTGATGACGTCATAAGCGATTAGCGGGAAAATTAGTGCAGTGCAACATGAACGATTCCTCAGAACTCATTCGGATTTTGGAAAGATGATGATGAAGAAGAATGATGAATTTTCGGAATCTGAATCATTACCTGAAGATTTAAGTGAGGTAAGTGTCTTAAGTTCCTAATAAATTAAACTTATTTTAATAGCATGCATATTGCCTATTTTATGTACCTATTATTTTATAATATTTTGTTTAATTTTAAATATAATAAGTTTGATACAAAATTAAACTGTTTCCCGGGCGACTCTTGTGAGCACATTTTTTATGTTTTTGTTTTCGAGTTTAGAATAACTCTGTTCGTTTACTTTTATACTGCAACTAGTAGATATTTTTTTTCTGTCAAAAAGCGAATGGTAATATTGTTTAGCGAAATAAATATCTTAAACCATATTTCACCATAATCCTTCCGAAAAGTAGGTACCGTGAGTAGACCATAAATCATAAATCAACCTAATGAAAAAGCATTAAGGTCCAAAATAGTATATCGACTTTCTACCTTTCGGCATTACAATCGTTTCGAATAGTATTGTGAGAAGACTAAAAATCAATGTAATGGTAAAACATTAAGATCTAAAATAGCGTGTCGACTTAGTACTAAATTGCTCTTTTGTTCTCGGCGGCGACGTTCTTTTTTTGTTACTAACACTTTCGCGTCTTACAGTAATCAAAGGCTTTCTCACACATACAATCTACAATGATAATAATTACATACATTTTTCTTCATGACAAGTTTTCTCGTGAATTGTATTTTTTTTTAATCAAAATATTGCATTTTTACAGAGACATGTATTATGACTGGGGTCTTCATCAATTGGAACACTTTAGTTGAGAGAGTTGAGTACGATGACAACCATTTTAAATCACTTACACGGTTTGGATATCATGCACTTCATCATTATTTTCCAACGTTGGATCATGCAGAACTGAAATATCTTTATCCTACCTTTCTTGAGCACTGCGAGAAATTTGGAGTTGAATTTCGAATATCCACATATTATAATCAGTCATAGTAAGCAATTATTAAGGAAACGCCTCAACAATTTTAAAGAAAGAAAAACTTTGTACGTTAAATAGAAACGCTATAACTTAACGTACAGAAAACACTTCTGACCATACTCTAATAAATGACTTTGGATGTTATTTTTCTATGACTAATAAATTAGGATTTTGAACTATATACTTATAAGTAATATTATTTTTAAAATATTTTTATTATACGTATTTATAAAGTAAAATACGTGTGTTTAAAAAAAATTAAAATTATTCATTAATGGTATTAAGTTTTGACTAGTAGGTCTATTGGTAGCGTTTAATTTTGTGAATTAAGAATATAAATTACTATCCTCGATTACGAATCAAAATGCAGATGCGCTCTCACCCGTGAGGACTTAGATGGAATGCCTCGTTTCCAGTAAAGAGGGTCTCCGGTTCTCTACAGTTACCATACGAAACACAGCAGCATTAAGCTATTTGACGCCGGTATCCGTGAGAGCGTGGTTCTTCCCCGGTTGAGCCGACCCATTCGTGCTACAACTATTCTCCCGTAATATAACTACAGCATGGCTCTACCACGTTAAAAAATTTGCTTTGGCCAGCTAAACATTTATGTTTTATTATTCCATAAGATTTTTATTATTTTAGGACTAATATTACCTATAATTTATTATTTTTAATTGTTGCTTTCTATATTAAGTACTGATTGAGTTAAAGACCAAGATTTTAATATTTTAAGACTAGACCTAGTGCAAATAATTATATACAATTGTTGAATAGTGAATAATTATGTACCATTTGTTGATTTCTGTAATAAGTCAGTAAGACCAAGATTTTAATATTATAAGACTGATTTTTCTAGTGCGAATAATTATATACAATTGTTGATTGGTGGATAATTATGTACCATTTGTTGATTTTTATAATAATTACTGATTTTTTATTCCATGACCAAGATTTTAATATTATAAGACTGATTTTCCTAGTGCGAATAATTATATACAATTGTTGATTGGTGGATAATTATGTACCATTTGTTGATTTTTATAATAATTACTGATTTTTTATTCCATGACCAAGATTTTAATATTATAAGACTGATTTTCCTAGTGCGAATAATTACCTATATACAATTGTTGATTATTGAATAATTATGTACCTTTTTTATTTTAATAATATAAAATTACAAATAATAAATGTATTTTTTTTACTTAACATGATTTGGAGGTTATGTAATTTGGACTTGTTTACAATTACAAACCTGATGTACGGATTGCTAATTTTGGGATTCGAACGCATGAGGCGCCGTGGCTTAGTTGGTTAAAGCGCCTGTCTAGTAAACAGGAGATCACGAGTTCGAATCTCGTCGGGGCCTTCCACAATTTTTTTTTTAATTATTTTAAAAAAAATTGTTGTATGATACCGACGGAACATTAAAGTTCGGGTCTGCTAGTGTAAGACCTGAAGGAATATGGACGTGATTTATATGCACGAATGAAGACGGTAGAACCTTTGTAATTTCAGGTAAAATATGACACTTGATATCAACAGTAAAGGCACAGCATAAAGACTCAATTGTGAGGTGACAAGACTGCGTACTGGTGGATATGTGATTATTAATACCCGTTACCTTGGTGCTCGTACGTGTAGGTAAGGTATGAAGAGCAATTTTTAATCTTGTGTATAAAAAACCAACAAAAACCAGTTATTTTGTGTTATCGATATATCAACTCTTGGCAGCACTGTTTTTTTTTCGTAGATATTTTTGTTTATTTTTTTCGCTTTGGCGTACAGGACACGGTAGTGAGTTTTTGGCGTGGCGCTCAAAAGGTTAAGAGAAATTCTAAAAGGAACCACAACTTGCAAATGAAAAGTACAATATTTGATGCATGCCTATTAGCCTGCTTGCTGTATGGCTGCCAAAATTGAGTATTCACAAATAAAATTAAACAAAAAGTGAAATGCAGTCAAACAGCAATGGAAATAATTATGTTGGGAATTAGAAGAATACATAAAATTAAGAACCAAGTCATTCGTCAAAAAACTAAACTTACAGATGCCCTCAAGCACGCACTCTTATTAAAGTGGGCCGGGCACACCTCACGATACCCAGATAGAAGATGGACCATTGAAGCCACACGATGGAAAGGACCAAAGGGGAAAAGGAATGTAGGTCGACAATTAAGACGGTGGGCTGATGACATAACATACGCCAGAAAACGAACGGATGAAGTTAGGCAAGGACAGGGAGTCATGGAAAAGGATAGACCTTTACCCAAACAGGGGTCCATATCTCATAAACAATACTAACATTAATTATAAGTAGGTATTTCTTTCTTAATTTTAAGCTATATCATCATCATCATTACAACCCTTCACAAGTCTACTACAACATAGGCCTTCCCCAAATAATGCCACAAAGCACGGTCCTGATCCACCTTAAGCTATAACTTACTAACAAATACAGATATAAAAAGAAAGTGAAGATATGGAATAAATGGCTTTATTATTATTATTATTAATATGGAAGTTTATTATACACAACATTAATATTTAAAAATGTATTTATTGCTTTTCGAAGTATTCTCCGCGAAATTTGACACATTTTTCCATACGATGGAACCAATCATTGAAGCAACCATTCCATTCGGAAGTTGGGATCTCCAAAATGGCCGTTTTGTAGGCGTCCACAGCTTCTTCAGGTGATGAAAATGTCTGTCCACGCAATTTATTCTTTATTTTAGAGAAAGTATAGAAATCATTAGGGCTTAGGTCGGGGCTGTACGGCGGATGGTCTAATAATTCTATGTTTTCTTGCTCTAAAAACTTGTTCTGTGTGCGGTGTGAGAACTCGCATTGTCGTGATGGAGGATGATGCGGCGGTTGCAGTTCTCTTTACGGAGTTCAGAAACGACCTGTGGCAAACAAATGCCAGCATACCATTCTGCATTAACCGTTCTTTGTCCCTCAAGAGGAATATTCGTAACATGGCCGGTTTTGGAGACAAACGTGGCCACCATTTTTTTTTTGCAACACTCCGTGAACGAACAATTTTTGTTGGCTTTAACTCACTTTCGAACACCCAAACTCGTGACAGGTTTTTTGTTTCGGGTTCGTACGCGTATATCCAGGATTCGTCACCTGATACGATGTTGTATACAGCATTTGAGGATCCTGCGTGGAATCTTTCGAGAGTTCTGACGGTAACGCGAGCCGCTTTTTTGCTCTTCACATAGCGAATGCGGTATTCATCGGGAAAACAACTTTTTTACACCTAATTGTTCATGCAAGATTATATGTATTTGACCACTTCGAAAGTCATAAATAAATCATCGCTCTTGAATTTTCTCGAGTCAATTCCATTTTCTCAACGTTTGACTAGTTTGACAAAACCTTGTGACAAGACCGAGAATCTTTTTTTAAATAAATACCTAAATGGTATTCGATTTTTAAAACCAAGGAGTTTTCAATTAAAAATATTTTAATATGACAGGAACAGTGGAAATATTCCATTCCCGATACTTTTAGTGCAGCCTCTGTACTTTAATGATTACAAGAAAATCTTACTACTTACATATTCGGTATTTAGTCGAATAGTACATAGATTCGATTCGACTGAATAGGATAAAAATAGCTGAATAACCCGAATACCGAATTATAGCCGAATATTCATTGCAAGTCTACTTATTATTATTATGCAAAAATTGGAGCGCGGTTTAGAACCTCACACCATGGAGCATGCTCCGAAATCTATGTCTAAAGTATGTCTATGTTTTTTTTTTCTTTTCTTCAAAAACTTTAAGCTAGCACTTGTAATTTCCCCTATCGTGGAGCTGTACATATCTACATTAATTACAATATTAAATTACATGCATGTGAATTAATTAGCCCTACAAATAGTTCTTATGTGTAAGATTCGAACTCACTTAGCGCAGCACTCAGCCGAATACATAATCACTGAGGGTGACTGAGCCCAAGCATATTTAGGTCCCATAAATATCTTTATGCAGATCTTATAAATATCTAAATTTGTAGTTTAGTCAATTTATTGTTTGCTCTGTGATCACTGATCAGTGATCTCTGTCTTCCCAAATTCGCTCTGCGTCCACACACAACTGAGCACAGACAAAGGCATGTGAAGGCTTTGTAGGCAAACACATTTAGTTAAATGTCGACACCCACTCATTTGAATTCCTTTGTTAGCCTAGAATAATCAGTTAGTGAGCATCTGGCATTACAACACAGAAATTTACAAAACTAAAAAACTATGAAACATTGTCATTTCAAAGATGTAATATATACAAATACCTGTCCTATGTTATATAAAAATCAATACCTATTATTCTAACTACATTTATTCATTTATTTTCACAATATCTTAAACCAATAGTATAAAATATGTTCATAATTTATATTGGCTTATAAAGAAGTGTTGTCACATATTTTTTTCTATAACGATGTGTTGCTGATAATACCATGACCCCATCTTTAATTGAAAGTGCATACAAATGATTTAACATAACATGATTGGGCTCTGGTAGTAATGTTGGCTCACACTGTAAGAAAAAAGAAGTAAATAATTATCTCTTAGCTAATGTTTTGTAGTATGAACAAACATTTAAAGAAAATAATTACAGAAAGTGGTGTATCCTTATTTAAAATAACTTGTAAAAGATGAGGTGGTAATATAGGAGGGCCTGAAACTTTTTCCCAAGGCTTAGATTGTGGTATTTCCTGAAACAAAAATTTTTAAAATACCATATAAACTACTAATATTTTTTATTTAAAAGTTTGTAAAGAAATTCTCATAATCCTTTTACACACTAATAATCAGCATCGAACCAAAGTTACAGCTTTGGCTTTGGCCACCTTTATATGCATATTCAGCCTTTGGCCAAAATCAGCCAAACTTTGGGCCAAGACTGAAGTAATGAATATACTACCAAAATCCAAAGAATTTTTACAACAGAGTTGTTCGGCCGCAAGCATGACTATTTTCTTACAAATGCCCCTAGAAAAGCCTTTATTTTTTGCATATAACATGAGGCTTATTTTACCACATAATTTTACACTTCGATAAAACATATTTTGACAGTTATAAAAGTGCAAAAACTTAAGTGAAATTTAATCACTAATTTTCTTTTTCATATCAGACTAAGAAATGTTTTCTCTATTTTTACTTTTATTTTTAGTTTTACCTTTCTTCACTTCTATTTTTACTTTTAGCTATTGTGAGGCTAAATTTTTAAGCACAATGAAAACCTTTGTTACGACTTTGGCTTCAGGCAAAGGTTACAACGAAAGCTTCAGCTTAATCCAAAACTTGACCTTTGGTCTAACTCTAGCAAAAATATAAAAGAGAATAAGAAATTTGATTTTTAATAATTTAAAACAAAATTTATTTTCATTTAAGCATTTAAAAATGGAATAAATTACCTGTGAATATTCAGTTTGTGCACTACTATGAACTCCTTCACTGTCTTTTGCTAGTGCTTGGAAAACTTCGAAATCTGACAATTTTACCGTGACCAAATTATTTTTTGATCCCATCCCATTATCTATAACTTTCTGAAATATTATAAATTTTACGATAACACATTATCTCTAAATTATTTATATTTAAGTACAAGATACAGTACCACTGTCGGGTCATGCCTCCATTCACCATCAACAAAATACTTGTACTGATGTTCTCCCTCAGGCAAATCTATTATTGTTACGAAATCCCCATGAGACTTAACCATTGGAATAGTTTTCCAATCAGTGAAAGTACCACTAATGAAAACCTGAAATAATGGCTTATATTTATCATGATGTCGTTAAATATGTAATGAATGTCATACAAAACATATTTTTAAGTTAAAAAAAATTAATATCAATGTTAAGGAAGTGGTAAATAATACCTGTTTGCCTCCACCTTCCCATTTAAATACAGTGGGTAGAACCTTAACATCATCAGCAACCTTAGTGTTCTCAGTTAATGTGTTTGATCTTTCCCTTGTTTCGAACTCCAAGTTACTTTCTGGCACTGCCTTTGTATAGTACGGCGCGCCATCTTCTATAATACTGTCATCTTCTCGACCACTGCGGTCGTCAACTTTTTTGTCAAATGTGAATGCTTCTCCTTCCTTTGCAGGTGAAGATGGTCCTACATCGGGAGGCTTAACAGTGTTATCTTTATGCCATTCTTTAGGTTGATTACTTCCTGCGTTACCCATTTTAAGACACTATTATTTTAACAAGTAAACAACCTTCAAACTGAATAAAACCAGAGAAGAGAAGTACCTACATAATATAAATACATATCACTCATAGGTAAATAAATAATAAATGTGTAGCAAGCGAATATTTTTAGTATGTAGGTGTTAGAACTTATAACCACAGACTAACTATGCTTATAACTTATAGAACAAAAATAATATTTTTTTAATTACCATCACAGATTAATAATATCACAGAATACTAATACCACAGTATATAAATTCCATATATATACTGTGCCAATCTCAGATGAAGTAAATCTGAGGTGCCAGTGCCAACACCGATCAATACCCTTAATATTAATAGTAGTTAAATAGGAATAATAATACACAACAGACCTTAGACTACTAAGAGGTAAGAGGATACCACGCATGAATAATGTATCACAAGCCCATGGACCTAGAGTCTATGCACAAGACGTAGATGGAGGATTAACTATAACTATGTAACAAGTAAACAAACATACAATTAGGAATTTACTAATCGATTATATAAAATAATCGACATACATTTTTAGTAGTAACGCAGTAATATTTTTGAATGGTATGAAGTAGCGATGAGTGTTGAATCTACGAACTATTTTAATCAACCGTTGATCTCCAGTCAAAGTATTAGCAATTTAACGAATTCTTCAATGACGTTTATGAATTTAAAACTCTTCTCTCTTAATAACGCAAACGCAAAGAACTGAGCAAATTAAAATACTTATCTTGAAAATAACCTAAAAAATATTTTAGGAAGTATTTTACCCATTTCAAAAATTGGTTTAAATGAATCCTAGAGTAATAACGAACCATTATAATTTTTATATGTTTTTTTAAAACCGAATAGTGCCATAAAAATTACTTTTAAATCTATCGTTCTAAATTTTCGCGTGAAAACGATAGCCGCCATGTTGTATAACTCGTGACGTCACAGTCGTCGATTCTATCGATTTTGCAAAGGAATAAGATTCTTTTTAATGTTTATTAATGAGTTATCATCTAAATCATTGTTGTGCCTGAATGCAACAATACGAGTATAAGAACGCCGGGAAAGTCATGGATTCAAGTGCTCACTGATTAAAATATAAGAAATACTTGGCTAAAACTGGCAAGAAGATATCCGAATACATTGGCTACATAAACCAAACTATTCTTCTGTGAAGATCATTTTGGTGTAAGTATGATTTATATTTAACTATCGTTTAATACAAAACAAACATTATGAGGTGAAGGGTATCGCAAGTAAAATTTTGTAATAAATTACGTTAACTTAGATATTATAACTAATGATTGAAATTATAAATAAACTATGATAGCTACTAAACTATGTTTTATCAAAATCAACTGGCATTGTGTTTTTGTACAAACAAAAGTTGGTAATAGGCACTTACATTGATGTTTTAACATTCCTCAACTCAGCAGAACAAAACTTGCGATTACATATAAGTATACATAAACATTCACGCCTGTCACCCAGAGGGGTAGGCAGAGACTACATACCGGACTAGTAACTTACGGAACAGACCAGAGCTAACAATTCTCCGCGCGGATAAAGGAAATGCTACGGTAATAATGGACACGTCAGAGTATAATTTTAAAATACTACAGCTTTTATCTGACGAAAATACATACAAAAAGTCAAAACAGACCCCACAACTAACACGCTTAAATCAACTAGCGATTTAATAAAGAAATACTCCGAAAAATTAAATCTCGACGTGAATTCGCTAATACCATCATGTACCAAACCACCGAGATTGTATGGGTTACCGAAGATATACAAACCAAACGCTCCACTACGTCCTATAGTGAGCCAGATCTATTCACCAACTTATGAGCTGGCACAACACTTGGCAAAAATACTCTCACCACTGAGAGGACATACCAGAGCACACACAAAGGATTCATACCATTTTGTTAGTGAGATAAAAGACCTACATCTCGCTGACAATGAAACATTGGTCAGTTTTGATGTTCAGTCACTATTCACATGCCTACCTATTGAAGACTGCATATCAATTGTAACTAAGAAGCTAGAAGATAATGACATGCCTGCTGAATATGCAGTATTACTCAAACACTGCCTCACATCTGGCTATCTATTGTGGAAGGAATAGTTCTACAAGCAAGTAGATGGTGTGGCGATGGGCTCACCTGTATCTCCCATAATCACCAACATATTCATGGAGGACTTCGAGAAGAAAGCCCATCCTACTGCTTCTGTAAATCCAAGATTCTACAAGCGGTACGTAGACGACACTTTCACAATTTTACTATCTGACAAAGTAACTGAATTTTTAAACCACCTTAACTCTATAAACTCTAAAATACAATTCACAATGGAGTTAGAGGCAAATAATTCTTTAGCTTTCCTAGATGTTTTAGTCATTCGAAATCCTAATAACACAATTGGTCACACTGTGTATAGGAAAAAGACCCATACCAACCGATATTTAAATGGTGAATCTCACCATCATCCTTCACAGTTAGCTACCGTGGTTAAATCTTTGTGTCAGAGAGTACGAGGGATCTGTGACAGAAAACATCTGGCTGCCGAGCTTCAGCACGTCAAGCAAGTATTGCAAGACGACAAGCTTCGCATTCCGCGCCTACGTCACAGTGACCGAGTGAAGCCGGCCACAGTCGAACGTGTACCTGCTGTACTACCGTATGTCAGAGGAATCGCAGACAAGGTGCTCACTTCAAGATGTAGCCGATCTTGAAGCGAGCTTCCATTAAAATATACTACAAGCCGCCGAAGAAGATTAGTAAATTTTTACCATTCGTCAAGTGTAATATCCCTCTACAAGATGCAGGAGTATACAAGTTAGATTGTGAATGTGGTCTCTCTTAGATAAGTCAAACAAAAACATCCATAAAAACCCGCGTGAAACAACATATAGCTGACGTGAAGCACCGACGCTCCGGGAAGTCTGCAGTCTGCGGTTGTTGTTCAAGATCGTCCCCACCATTACATTCGATTTGATAAACCACAAATCCTCGCAAAAAAACACCGATTCCTACCAAGGATGATAAGCGAGGCTATTGAAATTAAAAAACATGCAAATTTCAATAGAGAAGATGGATGGGTGCTGCCACCTGCTTGGGATCCTATAATTAACAAAATTAAACCCAAACCTAAGCATACCACTGCAAGACTTCATGATACTATAAGCTCGTTTTGCGTAAATCGGACCAAAAATTAATATTCAAAAACTGAAGGTAGCCGGACTAACTATGACATTGGGACGTCAAACATCTCAGTGCCCCCCGTGACCATGACCGATCGAAACATCTGGAATTAAAAATAAGTAAAAGTAGTGAAATAAACGCGATAAAATCCGTAAATTTAGTTTTATTCAATGGGCAGTTAACAAACATAAATTTCACAAGCACAAACATCCAGACCCAGAACAATTACTTGTAGGCCATACAAATACTTGTTCCGTGCGGGATTCAAACCCGCGGCCCTTAGCGCTGTAACTCATTGCTAAGCCACTGCGCTACGGAGCCGTCTATGTGATACATAATATGAAGTTCGCTTTCTTTAATTTTTGATTGCTCGACTGTTTGTGACAAGTTGCGGCTTGCGCGGAAGGTCAGAAGTTATTTTGCGGCTTATCGTAAATGTTTAGACTTTAGAGTTATTGTTTATAGTAACAGAGTTAATTTGTTAATAAGTTAATATAATTATGTATATTTGCATAAAATAGTACTTCTTAAGTTACAAAATTGAAAATGTCGGGAGGTACTATGTGTACGTAACAGTGAGTTGAATTGAAATAGATCTTTAATTAACATTGTTGTAATGGGAGTGTCGTCCCACTTGTTTGCTAGTGAAATAAGCGTTCGAACTATTGCGTGAGTAATTTCAGTGTTATTTATAAGTTGACTTTTAAGTTCGTCTATTCTTCAAGCACGTTTCCCTGAGAGGCCCAGGTCTTTGCTGGCCGCGAGGATATCTGCCCTGGCCTCAGTATTTAACATGATAATTATTTACAAGATTATTAGTTATACTGTATTTACAAGATTTAAACTAAAAAAAATGAGATATGAATAATTTTTAGCAAAATAATTTGAACTTGATAAAAAACGCACCTTCTCAGTTCAAATTCCCACCGAAGTAGAGAGTAGACACACAGACTATGTGAGACGACGCTTGTCAACCTTATGATGGCAGACAAAACATACTCTATGAGGTGCGGCTAGTTATTTTTAATTTTTTTATTGCTTTACGTATCAAAAATACATGGCGCTTAATCAAAAGTTCTATATACTTGCCTATAATAATTGTAATTAATAATAACTTTTATTAAATCTTAGTAATGCAAATTTTAGTTAAATTTACTACTAAAAAACAAGGCATTCAAAACTTAAAGATCATTTAAGATCACTCGTTGCCACATAACACCTAGCCACGAGGTAGAATTCATAGGACATTATCCGGAAAAAATGGCGTCACTAGAGTTGTTGACATCATCACTAATACAGACCTACGAAGACAGTTCCTAAGAAGACCTGGGTCCCGATTAATAGTATTAGTACCCGCGACGCCTCCCAAACGATGGTGCTGACGCACAAGGGGGAGACTGTTGGCTACGCACAATAATATTTCCCAAAAGTTGTCTATTTTTATTAAGAATAAAGTCAAATTTATATTAATTCTATAAAACGCAAATTTCTAAAAGATAAAGATATTTTGAATTAACTTAGAGTCATGAATTACATAGCAATCAGCTATACTATACGAATAAATAATTTAATTTTCAATATTTATTTAATTTAAAAGCTTGTGTTACACATATGCTAATGGCATGTGGCACACGTTAAGTGATGAGAGATAGAGACAAGTCAGATAAAGACAGCTAGATGCTAGAAAGAAACGGTATTATATATTAGACAAAGATAGATAGCAAAAATAGATAAATATTAGAAAGGAACGGCAACAGCCTCCTACGTTTTTGAGAGTCGTG